CGGGTCCGCATGAGACTACGGAATGGTAAATATTTAAGTACACCTACTGGGGTGAACGACGCTAACAAAGTACGCGACACCAAGAAGCATTTAAATTTGCGGCCACCGCATACTCCAACAAACCATGCCACTCCGCCGCGTAGCGGCGGCGAACGGCTAGTCTTACCCCTCTAGTGGAGTGTGTTGTCCGTCTGTAACGTCCGTAACGGGCTAGGGTTAATAAAACTCACGCTAATGCGGGCGCTCTATTGGCTGCCGAGCGCAGCGAAGGCGGCGTCGATTCGCTAAAAAAACTGTCGAACGCAGCGAAGGCGGCCCCCATTGGCTGGAATCATCATTGTGTTTTGTACACACTGTATGTGGACTACACATCGTACTTAAATGCACCGCTCAAATTTCATTTTGCTCTCATTTTCAGCTGCGCTTCGCGAGGCCACGCAAAGGGCGCTGCCTGTGTGTGCGTTAGTTAGTATTAGTAGAAGGCGCCGATGAGCACACACGTACTATATCGTCGTAGGAGCTGTTGAAAGCAATTGTAGGCTTTGGTGACTTATATTTCGGCCTCAATCGAAACGTTAGTACTTATTGGAAGTAGAATGAAGTTTTAAGCTTCGTAGTACTTTTCTAATAATTAATCTTACAGTACTGTTTTGCGTAGTACTATTCTAAATACAGTTCATATTTTTGCTTGCAGTTATTTGAGGTAGTAGTACACATAATAATTAAATCAGCGCCAGATAATAAATCACAATTTACTACTACTATTAATAATGTAAAAACTTTAACTATTGTGGCTTACACCCCTGCACCCCACACTGCCTCCGCGAAAAAGTGTCACCCTCCTTTGTATTTGCGCGCGTACTGTGCGACCTTAAGATATTGTGCGAACTTTCCAACAATATGTGTAGCGTACACAAAAAATGGAAACAGCGTTTGTGATTAACCCCATTGCTGCCGTTGCCACTAAAACCGTGCAATATGCTTGATTTTACAAGTATTACTCAACCGAAATGTGAGGATTTTATTTTGAACGATTCATGTGGTTTGCGGAAAACCAAGCATATTGCTTGGTTTTACTACAATAATTGCAATAATTATTGGTAAACCCACGCAATATGCTATAATATGCTGCGGGGTGCGGAGTAAAACCCAGCATATATGCATGATTCACATTTTACTGTGGGATATTTACCATATAAAATTCAACTAAATTTCCGGCAGCAATAGGGTTAAGTTACGTGACTCAGCAAGACCACGAAACACGAAGGAACACCGACCCACGTTATGTAGATGATGGGATAAAAGAGCAACACGAAGCACGGAAGGTCATGTGCGATAATAGAATACTTAGCCGATGCAAACCACGAAGTTTTATGAGTAGCGTGAAAGACGGACGAGCAAAGAGCCATGAAAAGGACAGAAGGACAAGAATTTGACGGGAGCGTACGGGCCACAGAAGGGAACTAAATACATAGACACCCCAACATGCTAAAAAGCACGGGCTACGAAAGAGCACCCACGCTCGAAGCCACGGTAGAACACGTAACGGTGAGAGTGCACGGACATAAATTCTCTTATAGCACCACGGTTGAACACGGAGCACAGTCGACCGACCAAACATGAAGATTCGGAAGACCAATCACGGGAGGTTGCCGAGTATTGAAACACGATACCAGGGTAGAACCGGAGCTCACTGGAGAGCGCGATACTACTGTAGATAACGAAAGCTTGGACGACAGACCAACCGCGACACCAAGATATAGCACAATAGCATGGACGATGGGGCAGCAACTAATACATGGGATAACAAGCAGCCACGGGAAATCACCGAGCCACTGAGCACGATAGCCAGGTAGAACCTGAGATCGTCGGGCCACTAAGGACGATACTTCATTATAGCACGTTTACCCGGACAGCCGACAAATCGCGGGGAAACGCTTCTGGAAACCACGATTGCACACCGTGGAACACGGGACCATCGTAGAACGCGATAGCATTGGCAAAACTTATATACTATGCGATCACGATAGCATAGACAGCATAACCACATTGCGATTGCACGATCGCGCGATAACACGGTACATGGAGCCACCACAGGGGCGCGCGGCACACAGGTGACAGAAAACTTCGGAAGATCACCCATTGGCGAGGGTAATAGAAATGGAGCGCTATCGACCATGAATGATTATGGACACGAAGCCTGTGGAATCCACGTAACCCTTAAGAACACGGAATATCTAGCAGCCACGAAAGAGGGTCGTACTACGGGAGCGCATGAGATCAAATGAGCTAGCACACAACCACTAAGCACTGTGAGAGAATGAGTCTACAAATCCAGGACAATCACTAAGCAGCGTGAGCCACGGGTGAGCAGGGAACCACGAAGCCAGGAAGATCACGGAAGAGCGCCGGCCACTGTAGAACATGACATCCAACCTGTAGTACGGGGTAACGGAAGCGTACCAAACAACAATATTATACGGGTCTACATGAGACAACGGAATGGTAAGTGGTTAAGTACACGAAGCCAAGACCTACTGGGGTGAGCGACGCTAACAAAGTACGCGACACCAAGAAGCACTTAAATTTGCGGCCACCTCCTCTCCAACAAACCATGCCATTCCGCCGCGCAGCAGCGGCGAACGGCTAGTCTTAAGCATCAAATGCAGCAACCTGTCTGTCCGTCACACTAAATTGTTGTGCCTGTCACGCTTTCCCGGACAAATCATTGGATAAAATAATTTAAATATTTCTAATGGCTGCCGAGCGCAGCGAGGCGGCCCAAATCGACACCTTCTGCAACCCTACGGGCCTTTGGGCCCGCCTGAGCCACAATCTGCCAACCTACCGTGCGAGTATTGAAGCGAGCCCGTGGCGAGCGGAACGGAGGCAAACACAAGGAACGACATTCATATTTACCCGCCGCGTAGCGGAGGCGCTCGGCTAGTATTGATCAAGCCGAGGTGCAAGTGCAACACGTTACATATAATACTCTTGTCTACACCCCGATGCAACTACTTTGAGCTCTCGATTCCTAGTGTCCATTTAATCGCCCACAGAAACTCAGCCAAAACAAATTTCTAGTCAGCCAAAATTACACATGTTTTATTGCATTTAGGTTTTTGTATTGGGCCGATGGTGGCCGTAACCTTGACAAATGAGACTGCGTCAAACAAAATGATAATTACGAACCATTTAGAGTTATCGAGATAATCGAGCTTAAAGGTGGCCAGTTGAATTTCGCACTTAACCGAAACAGTGACATTTATTGTAAGCTTCCATCGAAAAAAACTGTAAAACTACCCTTATTCAATTGCTTTTAACAAGAGCTTTCAAATAACACTTGCATTTTTAATTTTGAAAAAATATTGAGCTCACAACACTCCTAAATGTCATTTCGAGGGCCTATAAATGGAGATATTATTTTTGAGTGACCACAACTTCTTCAGTTTTAAGCATTCTGTAGCCTATAAGGGCTCAAACGATGAGGAGATGCCCCGCTTACGCTAGAGTGCTTAAATCGCGATTCGTACTTAGGTTCATAAGTACTACTTTGTTTTGGGTGGTCTCGAATCTCTTTTTTGTATGTGAGCCTCCTTATAAAGTGCACGTTAGCACATCCTTGCTATTTCGAAGCATGTTTTGCAACTTGTGTGAAAACTGCACCGCCAAATAAAAAAAATGACTGACTTATACGAGGTGGGTGTCGGAGGAAGTACATGTACTGGTACAGTACCTGAAAAATCTCGGCATGTACATGTACAGACAACGACGGTGAAATCCGCCATACCATACAAATCCGCCACGAACACTTGAAGTTCAAAAATAAAAGATTTGAACAAGTTTTTATTTTAGCCAATGATAGAGTAAATTGAATCGACTGGTTCCTACGGGTAGCATATCACATATAGTTAGAATTTCTATCACTCTGGAAAGGGCGCCTCAGCGCTCCTATACAATTCTAACCAAGCGCGAAGCAATCGCGACTGCTGAGTCGTTAGGAAGCTGCCAAGCCGCATCAAAGAGACTAAATATCCCTCGCACGACTCTTCGCGACTGGCTAGACGATAAAGAGAACATCCAAGACTTTGCGGGTGCCCAAACCAGCAAAACCTTGAAGGGCCAGAGTGCAGCGCCGTTAATACACTTCTCTCACGATTTGGTAACCTTTATGAAGGATGTGCGACGAGAAGAATGGGTAAACCGCCTTCTTATTAATTTACTTTTTACATTGTGACCTAAAACCGCTTGTTGCTTAGTATTTGTACAGATTTACTGATTCAATATTTCAAAGAGCAGCAAACGCGATGGCTTCAAACGTATCTTGCTGGTAAGGAAAGCGGTGAGAAGGGTCTAAGTGCGTTTATGAGACTATGTCAGCGGTTTGGAATATCTTTTGATTTTGCTGATTTTATATAATTGCTTTATTAAATAGTGTGATAATCGTGGAGCTACTAACACATCCGGTTGGTCATGTATACTCAGTGCAGGAGAGCAGTTTTATGGATGCCAAAGTGTGGGCGATATATGTACGAGAGCTGCTCAAGTTCGAGATCGAGGCACTATCAGTGCTTATACTCGATAACTTCGACGCACATGTTTTAAAAGAAGGACTTGATGTTGTTGTCGAGACAACGTCGGCCCTGGTTTGCCAGCTACCGCCCAACAGTACAGCGGCCTGCCAGCCACTAGACGTTGAGGTTTTCAACTTTGCTTTTTGCTAATTAATTCGTTTTATCTACCAATAAAAATGTGCGACGGATTTTCCTGTCGCAAAAACAAAAAAAGAACTACTATGGAGGATGGCTTTCAGAGGGTGGCGGATTTCACCGTCGTTGTCTGTACCACCGTGGTACAGGTTGACTTTTTGCAGCAGAGGGGGAAGTCAGTCAAGCAAATCTCAAACTGTATCTTGGAGACCTTGTCTCCAAACATAAACGTAGATCACCGAAAAGCATGCGTCCTTGCAGAACAGCATTTTGCTATTGTCACCATTTAGAATTCGCTGTTGGACGAGCATCATTAACTGAGGGAAATGAGCTTTCGCGCTGTCCTCATTGCTGCTACTGCTTCACTTGCTGCGGGTGTTTTGGGCCAAGTCATCGGACACAACCAGGTTCGGCCATTTCTGGAGCCAGAGCCCGTCACCTTTTCTCAAAAGGCAGCCGTAAAATACAAGCCCCAACTTAAGATCGAGGACGGGTGCCATCCGTACCCTGCTGTCCAGAAGGACGGCTCTATCAGCGGTGGACTCAAGTGGAGTGGGCCCCAGGATGGCGAATGTACAGGATCGAAGCTGGGTTCTCAGATCTACGCTCGTTCGAAGTGGGTAAACGATGTTTGGGCAATTATGTACGCATGGTATTTTCCGAAAGGCCGAGGGGCAGTGCCTGCACCGCTCATTCTTCGGCTCTTTGGCCACCGCCACAACTGGGAGTACGCCATCGTCTGGATCGACAACCCTGAGCTCGAAAATTCCACCATTCTAGGTGTGTCAATATCCGCAAGTATCAGCTACGCAAGCGAGACGCCCCCTGAAGCAAACCATGTGGATGGCGAAAGCGTCAAGCTCGAATACTACTATAACCACCTTTTTGGCAGCACATCGCTGCAGCTCACCGAAGATACTGGTGAGTTTCAGGACCTCGTTACGTGGGATCAGCTCACAAAGTTGGCGCGGTACTCTTTAAACAACACGGACTGGGACGAGACTCTGTTTAATTTGGCAGGCCTCAAGATGCCACTGAAGGACGGCGAGTTTGACGAGCTACTGAATAAAGCCTGGCCATTTTAGAGTCTCTCAAGAATGCTATTATACTACTGTACCGTGACTTTCAGCTCCGTGCCATCCAAGGTATAAGCGTTGCACGGAGCTTAGCTCTACATTAACCAAATACAGAATACACGTACCTCTGCGACTGCTGAATTTTAGGATCAGCACTGCTGATCCTAAAATTGGATATAAAGTTGTTAAATTACTACACGTAACCTCAGAATAGTCTGACTCTAATTCTATGACTATACTAGTGTGTAGTACTTAAGTACACACTAGTTAGTATAGTCACTTTTGGGATGGATCACTGGGAACAAATGGCGTCTGGAGTCAAGTGCGAGATCTCGTCCCAAATCTTACTAGTATAATGCAACTAACTATCCTCCGTTATGCATGTCTATAGCTTAGGGGATACGCTATCGACAGCTTTGAGCTCGTCCGTGGCTACGTTTTACATCGCTGGATGGAAGTCTTGCACGTCCTTCGTGAAGGCCCGAGAGGTGGCAGCGGCCATGCAGATGCTGTACCCGGACCGCGTAGCCTTTGAGACCCACCCGTTTGAAGACCGTAACGCTTTCAAGCAATGGCTAAGTGCGTCCCAGGATGACATCACCGCTCATTTTGGGGCCGATTCGAGGGCCACTAAGCACGTGACGTCGCCCTTTGTGTGGAGCAGCACAATATTTGTGGGTGGGTGTGACGAGCTTCTGGCCTTCTTCCGCTCTGGTATCGCAGTCGGGAAGCCTCAGGGTGTGATGCCCAGTGAGAAGCAGCCTACCCCATCTTCTGCTCTTGCTCCGGAGACGGATGGTTCTATGCCCGATGTTGCTGCTGAGACCTCGTCAACTGCTGCTAAGGAGGAAGCGAGCTACGACTACGACCTGGTCGTGATCGGTGGCGGCTCGGGAGGACTGGCTTGCTCAAAAGAGGCGGCTTCGTTTGGACAGAAGGTCTGCGTACTGGACTACGTAAAACCGTCGCCCCAGGGCACGTCCTGGGGTCTTGGTGGCACGTGCGTGAATGTTGGTTGTATCCCCAAAAAGCTCATGCACCAGAGCTCTCTGATCGGTGAAGTCTTACACCACGACAGTGCCAGCTTTGGTTGGAACGTCTCGTCAGGGCAAGGAAGCGCACCGATCTTCGACTGGAAGCAGTTGGTGACTAATGTAGATGGATACATCAGGGGCATCAACTTCAAGTACAAGGTGGAGCTACGCAGCAAGTACGTTAAGTACGAGAACTTTTTAGGCTCCTTCATCGATCCGCACACTCTGGAGCTGTGGCATCCACGCAAGGGCTCGAAGCAGATCACTACTCGCGATGTGGTTATTGCTGTGGGTGGTCGACCGAGAGAGTTGACTATTCCTGGTGGGGAACACGCAATCTCGAGTGACGATATCTTTTGGATGAAAACGAAGGAGCCGGGCAAGACGCTTGTGGTCGGAGCCTCGTATGTCGCGCTTGAGTGTGCAGGCTTTTTGAAGGGCATGGGTTACGATGTGAAGGTGATGGTACGCTCCATTTTGCTTCGTGGCTTTGACCAGGACATGGCCAACAAGATCGGCGAGTACATGGAAGTCCAGTCGGGTATCGAGTTTATTCGCAAGACAGTCCCGCAGTCCATTACGAAGCTTGAGAACGGCCAACTGTTGGTCAAGTGGACTAGTGAAGATGGCGAGAGCTGCGAGGAGGCTTTCGACTCCGTACTTAATGCTACAGGCCGTGACCCGGACATCGCCAAGCTAGATCTGGATAAAGCTGGCGTGAAACTGAACGAGAAAACTGGTCGCATCTGGGTCAAGCACGAGCAGACGTCGACGCCGAATATTTATGCCATTGGTGATGTCATTGACGCACCAGAGCTCACTCCAGTGGCTATTCAGGCTGGACGCTTGCTCTCGCGTCGTTTGTACAACAACGCAACGGTTCAGATGGACTATGATAAGGTATGCACGGCAGTGTTCACCCCCATTGAGTACGGGTGTTGCGGACTGTCGGAGGAGGACAGCATTAAGCGCTTTGGCAAAGACAAAATCGAGGTTTACCACACAAATTTTGTGCCACTGGAGTGGTCGCTGTCGACGGAAACGCGTGCGGCCGCCGAGTCGTGCTATGTGAAGGTCATCTGCGATAGAATCCGCGATAAATTCGTGGTGGGCTTCCATTACTTGGGACCGAATGCCGGTGAGGTGACCCAGGCTATGGGTTTGGCGATGAAGCTTGGCTTCACGTACGACCAAATGGTTGACACGGTGGGCATTCACCCGACGACAGCAGAGTCGTTTACGACGTTGGAGGTAACCAAAAGCAGTGGAGGTGCGACCACTGGCGGAGGCTGCTGAGGTTAATTTCCCCTCCTACTTTTCTCCATGGCCTTCTACAGTGTAATGCAAGATTTCCCTACGAGGCTGTCCTTGTATCTTAAGTCTTTCGCAGTCACTGCATGGAGGAGCTGGAAAGGAGGGGGAGGAGGCATCTGACGGTGGCGAGGCTGAGGTGGTTTTTTTTTCTCATCGTTGCAGTTGTCGTTCATATCTTTTCGACAAGCTGCGCTGAAGATGAACCTCTGGTTGGCCTGAAGGAACGCTAGTACTGAGTAATGACGCTCTTTTCAGAAATCCTTAGCGGGAGGGGAAATCGAGCTGAGAATTGGTGCTGTACAGTATTCCGTGCCATGAGTTGCGGCTTGCTCGCTGTCGCTCACCGGTAATCAGAAAAGGGTAGATAGTTATCGGTCGAGTAAGGCATTGCAGACATTTTATTTCTGCTGATTTCCATAATATGGACAACAATATTATTGTTATCTCGATCGGTAGCACGAGCCTCGTGCTACCGATCGTGCCACTTGCTTTTAAAGTTATCAAGCTGGCAGCTCCTTCCCACAGTGTACTTTCGCACTTCCATTTTCATATCGACCAACATGAGATTGAGTGGCAGCTTTCCCTGTTCTACTTTTCTTCTCCTGCTCGCTCTCCTGCCCGCCTGCGTCGCCGGTCAGCGACGACTGGATGCGGGTCTAGGCGAGGGCCAGATCGTGCTGCACCCGCCTCCTTTCTTCGTCGTGGATGGTCTGGACTTTCAGGGCATGGCACTCGCTTACCTACAGGAGCAGGGAATCAACACGAGCATCGAGGCACAGAGCTGGATGCAACAACAAGGATACAGTTCGCTGCGCGCCATGCTGGATGATGAATCGCTTTACAAGGTGACAGAGGAGGCCATCTTCGAGTGCGGACTCACAAGCCCTAGGACTGAGACTCAGCCCATCCCGACGAACAACTCGTTTCAGACGTCGGGCTACACGCTGGACGGCCCGTGTGAGATCTGGCTGGACGACACCAAGGTGGCCTCGGGCCGCAACTGCCATACCGAATTCCCACACGGCCAGCACCAGGTCGACTACAGCTCATGCGGCGGCTCGTGCCATCTATCTTGGTACTGGCTCGGCATCAAATACGTCGAGGGAATCTACTCTTGGCAGGTCTACAAAAACTGTGTGGGTCTAAGCAAGAACCCAACGGCTTAGGTGCCAGGAACATACCGGTAGTGCATACATGCTCCCCGTGTTGCATGCGCTCGTAGATGTAACAAATATCTCTCGTAAGTTTTTACTCGCATGCAATTCCATACAGCTTTTATTGCGAATGCAGGTATTCCACGTACTAGAGACGTTGCTTTGGCTCAACCTGCTGAACAGGTTAGCACTCTTCATTTTATATTGCGATTTCGAGAGGAAGTTAGGTTTCGACTACTTTGGCCGAAACCTAACACTATTACCTCAAAATGCACCAATCAAGCACAGTGTGGACGCTAAGAAGCTGGCAAACCCCCTGAGTTTCATAGTCGAACTAAACACATCGACGTGCGTCATCATTACATCCGAGAGCGGATTGAGCTGCATCAAATTGATGTGAAACGAGTCCCTGGAAGCGAAAATGTGGTTGATGCATTTACGAAACCACATTCTTCCAAGGGCAAAGTTTGAGGTTTGGTATCGCAACAAGCGTATGATTCCTCTTCACCCCCGCATAAGGCTGATGACCAGTAGGTGGGGCTGCTATGAAGCACTGGATCTCACCGTTGGTGCCGGATCACGTTGACGTCTGTCCCAAAGTTTTAGGCTAAAGCTTTTGTCCTTAACGGGTGTTTTATCGAAGTCAGGGGAGCTTGGGGGAGAGCGCGCCAAAAGAAAAGGAGTTGCCTGAATGAAAATCTGCCAAATCTGAGTCGAGTCGACCCTAAACCTCCTCAGATAAATACCCCTTTCCGGACAAAGTATACCGTATAGTAAAGGGGGGCGACCACACATTTTTCCCGCCTCGGGGTCTGAATACTGCTGGACGATCGCCACGAATCTGCGCGTGCTGCCGAGCGTGGGTCAGCCACAGGGCAAGAATCGATCGGCGCAAACGTTGTAGATGGAGCTAAGGGCGCGGACGTCTCAAAAACGTCGTGGATCAGGGTCACGAAGCGATGATGACGCATCCAACGTCTCGGTCGAGTCCAGCGAAGAGGAATTGGTCGACGAATCGCTCCCGATGGAATCTGGCGACAACAGCAGCCGCTCCAGCGACTGGACCAACACCGACGACTCTGAGTCTATCAATGTAACGCTGGCTGTGCCCGACAAGCACCACTTCACATCGTGGGACGCTTTCCACTCGTATTTAGATCGGTATTTTGCCGCATCTTACCAGGTAAAGTGGATTTACACTGCAATAGGCTTCTTTGCTGATCCCATTGTGTGCTATGAAGGTCTTCCGTGTTCGTACAAACACGACCGTTGAGCGTCGTAACACAGACATCCGAAACAAGAACTCTAAAGCACCTGAAATCCCGTCCGAATGGAAATACTACGCGAAGACGTTAGTCTGTACTTGCTTCGGCAAGTACAAGTCGAAGGGAAACAGCAAGCGCCCACGTCAAGAGACCCGGTTATCGGACTGCAAAGCCCAGGTAAGATACGGCTTCAAGTTTTACTTCTGCTCGGGTTCGTTCGGGTTTGTTCGGGCATTGCGGGTACTATTGTCTCAATTATCGGTACTAACGTTAATAAATCTGGCATAGATCAACGCCTGCGTTCGACTAGTTGACAAAGCCAAGCATGCGTTTGCAGTTTGTATCACAAAGTGTAACCCCGTACACAATCATGTCGTCAACCGCCAAACCTTCTATCGCTTTTCCTCGATCCACAAGGTGCTAGATGATAACGTCGTTGAGTCGGTGGATATGCTCCGCAAGGCGGGTGCAAAACACAAGAATATTATGAAGTTCATCATCGAGAACACGGACGCCAACCCGTCTATTCAGGACGTGCGTAACATGGTTCGAAGCCTCAAGCAGAGCGAAAACGTGCGTGGTTCGCGTAACAGTTCCAAACGGTTGAAAACATGGATGCAAGAATTCTGTGAAGCACCAGGAAATATTGGACGTATATTTGTCGAGACCATGCAGACCAAGGTATAGTATTCGTTCAATTTGACTATCGATACCTTAGCTAACGTGCAGTGTTGAATGTAATTAGCGAGTTGCGACCTGCATTACATTGCAAAGCCAGCACATGAGGCTGATGTTCGAGCAATTCCCGGAGGTTCTTTTGATCGATGCAACCCACGGCACCAATGCTTCTAAGTACAAGGTATTTTCGTTCATGGCGCACGATGTTTTCGGCCACGGACAGTTTGTTCAGCACGCCCTTCTGCAGAATGAACGTCGTCACACTCTCGTCACTGCAATCGAGGAGTCAACCTGGCTGAACTTCCTCGTGCCAAGTTTGCCATTGTATCTGCCCCTGAAGACGCGAGCTCCACATGGGACTCTAACCGAAAATATCAGGAGGCAAACTTGATAGCTAGCTCTATCAGTGACACAATGGCCGGATTCGGGATGAAGGACTACCAGCTTGCAATGAAGTTTCTCCAATCGGTGTCTCGTATCATAAAGCACAAGGAGTTTGAGAGGCTTCTTCAAACCGAAACGGAACGACCTACCATCCTGGTTTCAAAGACCACAGGTGCGGGTGACGATGTGGATGATTGTGGCGACTGTGAGTTTGGTCAAGCTGATATTGAGCATACCGAAGAGAGCTTGCTTGCCGTGGGCGATCATTGCAGTAAGACTAGGACCTCCTGTGTCACAGAGGAGGCCAACACTCACGATCTAGCCGACATATGCCCAACTGTGCCCCAACCAAGACCAACTTTGCCCGAATCAAGACCAACCGTGCCCGAAGCAGGACCGATTGTGCCGGATTTAAGGTTGATCATCCCCGAGCAAGCTGCGAGTGTATCGAAACCGACTGCCCCGAAAACAAGTGCATGTATCCAAGAACCAAGTGAACCGGAGCCACCTACAGCCGCGGTTAATATGAGACCAACTGTGCCTGAACCGAGACCGATTGTGCCCGAACATAGCATTTCTGCACTATCAAAACCAGTCAATGAAACACCATCAGTAGCTCAAGCCAGTGAAGGAGATCAACAGGCGACTACATCCAGATTATCTACAGTTGATATTGAAGACAGAGATGTGGAGTTCGAAATTGCGAGTCCAGTGCGTCAACGAGGGAGACCTAAAGTCACGCCAAAAGCAAAGAAAGCAAACCGAAACAGGCTGATTCGGAGTGTAGAGGCAGATTCAACGCTGTTTGACTTGCAAATAAGCTTGCGGTCCGTTCACGAAAGCCTTTCCACGAACGCTACCTATTCATCCTCCGCTGAACTTGCTCGACGACTACAAGTGTATACATTTGGGACTAAGCCTAAACCCCCAGTGGCCCGACAGACGAGCAAACTCCCTGCAGGCAAGACGCTGACAGACTCAAGTTTGCTGACTCGAGTGCTTTCCAAAGACATACTCAGAAAGTGTGACGCGAAGGTTTCCGCGCTTCAACGCAAAACGTCTGGATTATCGGAGAGAGACGTATCGGTCGAGATTATTAGTCTGGGTGTGTTCTCAACAACGACATTACGAATGATGAAAGGTTGGCATCACGCAATTACAATCTTCGACTCTATTGACAAAACGCTGAACTGGATCAGCCGAATCGACTTCACCCAGCCGCTTAGCCCGGACTACACTATTGAAGCAGACCATGAGATACCAAGCAAGCTTAAGCAGCTACAGATTCGCTCTGACTCGGTACGTCATCTTGTCACTGTACTACCTCGAAATATGGCTAGTAAGACTAACATTGGAGCACAGATACATCTACTAGACCTTGCTGCCAGAGGGTCACTCGGGGACGAGTGCATGTATGCGGTGATGAACGTGATGTTTGCGTCCACACCAGGGGTGGTCACCATTGATTCGAGCCACGTCGGTGTAGCTGTCAACGGGAAAAACACTACAGACATGGAGGGCCTTGCGTCTCTTTTCGCCGGGGTTTCGGACGAAAAGGTGCTCGTTCCCATCAATTGTAATGGAAATCATTGGTGCGCTATCATGATCGACCTATCGACCGAAAGCATATACACTTACGACCCGATGTCATCATCCTATGCGGCCAGCGTCCGAGCTATCGCGCACAAATTGGTGGGGGTCCTACCGATACCGAAGGATAGGTATCATCACCAGTCGTACGTATCGAGCATTGGTATCCAGACCGACAACAACAATTGTGGCATTTACGTTCTCTTGGCATTCGAAGCCTTTACGGGAGCTTCTGACGTGGGATATGTGAACAAGCAAAGGTTGCAGCTTCTACGATACCGGTACCTCTGTATGTCTGTGTAAGTTTCTTCGGCATAATATGAGACTTTACATTTCTGATGCATTTTACTCTGACACTGCCTGGGATGTCATTGAACTTGGCTACACTTCACTGAACTATTTATCCAGCTATACATGATTCGCATGTATACATCGAATGCCCCCATTCGGGTAGCTCGGACACATTCGGGCGCACTCGGGTGTGTGCAAATCCTAAAGCATGTTGCCATTCGGGTGATATAACGACTGCCAAAGAAAAGTGCCGCCCCCGCAGTTCAGACGGATGGAAGCTTCTAGAAGCTTCCACAGCCGCCCTACATCTGCCTGTTTATTAATTACAATACTATACATTCCATAGTACTACTAACAACCCATTGCAATAAGATAATAATATCACCCAATCGGATACACTCACCCTCACGCCGCCTCTTCATAGCCTTCATTCTCGAAAAAGCACAGCAGACGGCGAAGTCGGTTGTCTCAACAGGGACTCGCTCGAACCGGTGTCATCTTCTCCTACGGGCCTGGCTTCACTGGAATTGAGTGGGTTCCAACCCGAGGCGGTCCCTATGGCTTCATCACGCCCGTCTGCTTCCTCTCGTGATCTCTTGGTGGGGCTCCAGTCTACTGCTGGGCTCCGTGCGACTAAGTCACGGCTGGCACGCGCCTTTTTGGCCGGGCCGTCATTGGGAACGGCCACAAACCGTCAGGCTACAGCGCAGCCCGCTTCACCGTCGCCACCCCCGTCACCTCCGCTACCGTCACCTCCATCGTCGCCGCAGTTACCGTCGCCGCCGTCGCCTCCGTCTCCTGTTG